TGAAAGATCAGCTTCATCAGATACCTGGTTTTAAAAAGTGAAAACAGCTACATTTTATCTACACAAAATTAAAATAATTTTTGTTTTAGGTGAAGCATAAGATATTAACAATCTACAGGCTAGTAATCATCGGGTAACATGGGGGGGAGGAGGGGCGATTAAACAAAGAGACTAAAAATGGTTGTATTTGATTAACTGGCAGGATGATGTATTGAAGAATCCAGGACACGGACACACACACAAAAGTCCCTTTGCTAAAACAGATTACCGAGGTAGAAGGACTGCTCATCTGCAAGTATTGGCCAGGTCAGGAAACCGTAAAATAATCAGGACTTGAAAGCAGGCACAAGACAAGGTTTCAACAGAAAGTTATCACTATCCGATGGCCACGCTCACGAACTAAGCCAACAACTGCCTGCCCCCTGCACCCTCCCAACCCAAGCATCCCTGCCGTGGCAGCGACACACCGCCTGTGGCCCAAGCCGCGGGGCATCATGCTACAGCCGGACTAGGAGGCATTACCACTGCCCTTGCCAGAAAGGTGAAAGCAAGGAAACAAACAAGAACGGTGGCCAGGGCTCCTGCTCCAAAGCCTGTATGAAAGACTGAACGTAGTTAGACGCCTCAAACGCTGGTCGCCATAGAAAATTACAGAGGCCAGGCCTGGCTTTTGCAGCTGAGGGAAGGAGTGGAACTTGCCTGCAAGGCACCGTGACAAGATAGGTCCCGCATGGTGACGAAGGAATGGGAGCTGCTTGCAAGGTACTGTGACAAGATAAGCTCCGCATAGTAACGCTGCATGTGAGAGATTTGGCTAACACAGGATGCCAGAGGCACGTCAAAGGACGGACAGTCCTGCGTCCTGATAAGCTAAGCAAAACTTACCATACGTAGCCAAGGGGCCCCCGCCGAGCTTATTTGGGGAAGGGGCTCATAACCACCCCCCATAATTTCGCCCGCACAGAAGATCAAGTCCTTAGAGGCGGTGAGCAGAAAACCAAGAGGGGCATGACTGACGTGAAAAGGGCGTGAACTGGGCCATAAAAGATACAGACACGAGGAGCCCTGCATGTTCCCACCACCAGAGGATCACCCTGACCACCAGCATCATCGATGGAGAGCTTCATTGGGGGATCCAAGTGGGGTAAGAGATCTCTCTCTTCCCTTTTCTTATTTTCCTCTTTCTCACCTTTGTGAATGTTTTAATAGAGACTACACTGCCACTATTACGCCTTCCAAGTTCAGGTTGCTCCTACCATAAATAGGTTTTGGTGTCGTTTCACCTTAATTTAGCCCAAGGGAGTTCTGAATTTACCACAACCCCTCCCTGGACCGTCCAGCCCGGGTCCTGACGGCCTGCCCACATCTGAACACCTCAAGTAAATAAAATATCCCCCCTCCCCTCCCCTCCAGGAGGAGGCTCCAGTGCTGGAGG